GGGGGGGGGGGGGGGGTCAGGTCAGTGAAGTACAGCTGTAACTCTGTATCAAATCTACAAACTCCAAGACAAAAGTTCAACTTGTTCAACAACTGAGACTGAAACGTGCAGGGTTCCTGGTACTGTTCCTGGTTCCTGGTACTGTTCTTGGTTCCTGGTACTGTTCCTGGTTCCTGGTGACGAGGAGCCGGGGCTGGAACTTTATTACAGTGTAATTATGACACTGATCTTGTAAATGAAACCGTAAACGACCAACAATAACACGTCCGTTCCTGCCGTGACGCGACCTTTCGTCGACCGTGTCCCACTTCCTGCTTGGCGCGTTTGAGCCCGTGTTGTCGTCTGCTGGGTAAACTCCTCCGCCGCACAGACAGCGTATTGTTCCAGAGCTGTCAGCGACTAAGTCATGAGACAGGAAGCACGAGTGTTGTTGACACCAAATCAACACCAGGCTGTCAACACCCAGGGCGTGTCCTGTCAGTGATCGTGAAGTTTACTGATCGTAGAAATGTCGCGACTCGAATCACCGAGAAATACAGGTGGAACTTTACACTGAACCACATCAAGTTGTCAAAGTTAGAGCTTCAGATCAGCTGTTGGTTGAGAGTGTATTTATTGGTTCACTGTATGATCATTAAACTCAACAGCCAATCATAACTATGATCCCGTTTAGAGGAAAACACACAGTAAAGCCAATAAGTAAGTATCCGTAAGTATAAGTATCCCAGGGTTCAATTCCCCAAACGGGGAGGGAGCAGATTTTAGGGGCAGTGGTGGATCAGTGGTTAAGGAACTTGAAGCGGACTTGGGTCCAGTTACCTTTCATAAATAGGTTGACTGGTTGACTGATTGACTGGTTAACTGGTTGACTGGTTGACTGGTTGACTGGTTAACTGGTTGACTGATTGACAAGTGACGTCAAAGACAAGATATTAAAGTATTACCGTGGTACTTCCCTGGAATACTCACATATACCTTCTTGGAAAAACAATTCCTGTTGACGACCTTGAGAAAAGTACCTCAGTACCAAGTGAAACCAAAGGTATCGGTTCGATTCTCAGACTTTAAGGAAACAGAGTCATTTTAGTTCAGGGACTTTTTCAGGGAAACATGAAACTAACTAATCAAACCTGTTCCTAACAAAGTCATCAAAATATTACTAGAATATTCTACTGTGAACTACGGCTGTAACGAAGTGAAGTCCACGATGTTGGTCGACCCACCATGGAAGGACGGGGATTTGAACCGACAGCCTTTCAGCTCATTTACAGGATCTGCTTTTTTGCATAATTTCAACTCTTCATCTTCATCTTCATCTTCACGTGTGTGAAGTGAATAAGAGTCCAGACTCTAGGGTCTAATTAAGGGGGTCAAAACTCTTTTTCACCAGGGGGGGCAGGAGGGAGCACATCATCGGTACGGCTGCCCCCGAAGGACCTGTCGTAACTGGAAGGTTGTTGACGTAACAACTCCACAACATATGAATAAATAGATTTGATTTGATTTGATTTAATGTGTAACAACTCCAACTGTAAACACACAGTTTTAATTCAACAAATATCTCAGTGTCGTACTGTTGTTGTTGTTGTTCTTGTTGTTGTTGATGATGTTGTTGTTGTTGTTGTTGTTGTTGTCTTTTATTTCATTCACACAGACAGAGAAACAGTCTTTGACCAATGAGAGCTGATTCTAATTCTATTACACCTTGTAACACTTCTGTCTCCCCCGCCCCTCCCCCTCTGTTTAC